AAAAACAACAGTGTATTGTGATGATACTCAAGCTATCTCTTCAAGAATATCTGATTCATTTGAGTGAATCGGTTCATTTGGACAGTTCATTTCATTAAACGGGTTCAAAAATGATTTATTTAATGGGATGTGATTGACTGCTATTAGGAATATGAATGAAGTAAGCCACATCTCAATAGAGTTGACCTGAACCAGTATGAATATACAGGAGTGTAGCACGATTTGAAGCACTACAGAAGCAGATTTCATGATTGAGCTGTTGTCAGAACTGCTTTATCAGAAGTGGAGTCTGACTCTCATCGAACGCCTTTTCAGTTTCATGTGTTTATGATATGTTTATTGAAGAAAATGGCATCCAGAATGGTTTGCGAGCGTGAATCAAACGCATTAGGGGCCCCGCTTCGGCCCCGGGTCTCCCTGCATTGTGCTCTTTGATTCAGAGGCTCTTTAGACACTCTCAGTGAGGGCTCTCGTTTTTTTCAGTTGTCCTTTAAAAGGCATAAAAGCTTTAAATGGGTTCACATGAACAAATGGTTTAGTGACTCCACTTCATAAAGGACTAATTCTGCCTGTTTGGGAAAACCATGCGGACTAGAATATATATATATATATGTGTGTGAGACCCTGGAGCACAAAACCAGTCATAAGGGTCAATTTTAAGAAATTGAGATTTATGCATCATCTGAAAGCTGAATAAATAAGCTTTCCATTGATGTATGGTTTGTTAGGATTTGGCTGAGATACAACTATTTGAAAATCTGGAATCTGAGGATGCAAAAAAAAAAAAATCTAAATATTGAGAAAATCATCTTTAAAGTTGTCCAAATGAAGTTCTTAGCAATGCATATTACTAAACAAAAATTAAGTTTTGATATATTTACGATAGGAAATTTACAAAATATCTTCATGGAACATGATCTTTACTGAATATCCTAATGATTTTTGGCATAAAAGAAAAATGGATAATTTTGACCCATACAATGTATTGTTGGCTATTGCTACAAATATACCCCAGCGACTTAAGACTGCTTTTATACATCATTTGCAAAAAATGTAAGATGCTTCATCAATAAACATCTCTGAGTTTTCAAGGCTCTTATTTTGTAATCGAATGTGTTCATTTCTTTAGTAAACATAGTTACAAATATCACTATGTTAAACCCCATCTGCATCACCTTGGTCTTAATATGAGGAAGAGTTTGAATGATTTGACCAGCGCGGTCTAGTTCTGGACTGAGTTTAGAGTTTCTCCATCACACCGCTGACCGCATTGATGTTTGATTAGTCACAAGTTCATTTCTTGATCTATAACCCGAGCGTTAACACACATTACATATTCATCGGCCGGCGGCCTGCCCGCTACCAGCGAGGCCAAGAAAACTGCAAATTTGATTACATGTGCCCTTTGGCTCTGTGTCGAGGGGACAAAGAGAGCGGCTGTCTGCGGCGATTAGCATGCCCAGCATGAGGTGATGTTTCCCCCAAAAGACTGGCCTGCGCTGGGACATGCCTGTTTACAGCAGACCTGGACACAGCACACTTCTGCTCTGACACAGACTGAGCAGAGACACATTTCCAGTGCATCTGAGTGCGTTTTGACCCAGAAGACATATGCAAAAAAATCTAAAAAAAGCATAATTTTTTAGTAAGGCAATGAAACTTTGCAAATGCTTTAAAACCCTCAAAATACACATCTTTTTTTTTTTTTGCAATCATTTTTTACGAGATATAACCATTTTAATATTTGTAGATATAGAGTCTCATGAGGTGTTAAAATACTTATATACAATGATCTATGCAGTTGTATTAGTGGAAAAACCTTTTGTAAAGTGTATGTCGCCTTTTCCCCATATCTCACACACTTTTGGGACTGAATATTGTTCATGAATATGAATATGTGCATTTATTGACAAACTATTGCAGTGTGAAAAATGGACCACTTTATTCATCTGAAAGTGAAGGGTTATGCAAAAAAAAAACTTTTCAGAGTAATATGTATGTTGTTTTATTAGAAATAAATATGTAGGTAAATTTGGACTGTTTTTGAGCAACGAGTTATGAATTCAAAAGAATTTAATGCAATTTCGTTCATTCCAATGAAGTTAATACTGGTAATTCTCAGGTTACATGTTCTTATAAATTTCATACAATTATATATTCAAATACAATTTCTCACTAATATATATATATTTTTTGATATTGGTGAGAAATTTTAATTGAATATATAATTGCATGGAATTTATAAGAACATATAATCTGAAATATATAAAATTTCTCACAAAAAAAAAATAATAAAGAAAATATATATAAATAAATTTTGCATTATAGTTTTTTTTTTGGTGTGGTTCATAATTTGAAATTTCAAAGAATTTCTAAATGTTTAAATTAATAAAAAATGCAGTAATAACATGGTAACATTCAAAACATTAAATTGTTTTCACATTTACTTTAAGTATATGTGTATTTAAGATTAAGTATACAGATTTTGAAAGCATTTTGAGAATTA